GAGAGCATTTTTTGCAGACATTTTTTTCTGCATTCACATCAGACGCCGTATTTTCTTCACGGAAGAGCATAGATACGACTTCTACAGATTGATATTCAATGTGAGCTTTCAAGGGTAGATCACAGTAATGAACAGTTCGTTTGACTTGACCCGTCCCAAAGTAGAGGAGGCATAGAGCCAACTATCATCAGTGCCTATAAACCAAAATCAGCCATATGTGGGATAGGTACTGGATAAGCTATTCCGCAGATTTTCCCCATATCAGACTATCTCAATGGTTGGATGAAAACGGATCTAGGTGTTACGGTGCTTACTTTCTTTAACACAAATTATATCTAATTGCATACAGGTAGCAGTACCTACATAACAGTACATATGAGACAGACCCACCATGTAATATCGATCGAGTGATTAGTAACGGAGTAACGACGGTAACAATTTGGTAAACGTTTAGTCGTTTAAATAAATTCTTCAAGAATGTTCAGATGTATAAGAGGGTTGAATTAATCCCTGATGATGACATGGCACGTGCAGCGCACAAGTAGCCTTACTTGCACTCGATGAGGTAATTATAACAGTTCAAAGAGCAAGGAGCAACTACATTAGTGATGTCAATTACGGAAAATCGGAATACCGATACCAAACCAATTACCAACCAAAACCGTGGAGAAATACCGAAACCAAACCAACTTGGGAACATGAGGAAAATACCAACTTTTTACCGATTTCTTAGCCTCTTGAACATTAGCGAGGGTTATTTTACCAACAAAATACCAAACACATTAGGACTGGAATACCAAATACCGAGTTGGTATCGGTTTGGTATCGGTATACCAAAAAGTCGGTATCCGATTGACATCTCTAAACTACATATGTATATCAAACTGGACCAGCTTACGTAATGCGAAATGCGTAAACTTGTCCACTCCTAACCGTCCCATCACCCGGGGGAGTAAAGTTATTTCTCCATTATTCAATCACCCCTTGGCAACAAGCCATTTTACGTATACGTAAAACGGCTTTTACGTATACGTAAGGCGTAAGTATACTTACGTACTACCTATAGGTAGGTACCATTTTTCAGTGAGTCTGCTGAAATCGTAATTTTGCGCATGCATTATGGGCATATCACTTATGTGTGTCATTGGATAGTGCAGGCAGATGCATAGTTACAGTATTCCCTACATACACACAACTATAACTATACTTATCATAACACAATTTCAACTATTATAGGCATACATCATTTGCATGGCGGCTGCAGTGTCCGACCAGTGAACGCTGCGAGCGGCGGCTCAGCTGCGGGCTCAGCGAAAATGGGCCAAACTGGCACAAAACAAGCCTCCAGGGCCTCGGCTAACATGTTAACTACTGGGGCAAATGCCCCAGTAGAGTCGAGGAATGCCCCAGTAGTGGTCAGGCTTTGCCCAACCTCCTCAAAATGAGAATATTCAATATTAACGTACATTCTTTCATTCGGGAGCGGTTGAAGACGTTTGTGGCAAGAAATCAGGGGCGGCGGAAGAGGGAGTGCACGGTGTGCAGCTGCACCTTCAATTTCCATCCAAAAACATAGGTGTGCATTGGCAAACATATCTTTTTGCACCCCATAATCCATCTTCGTTCGAAAGAGCGTCAAAAATAATGACGAAATTACTTCGGCCACTTTTTTGGTCAGGTCAAAGGTCAGGTCATGGTGAAGGCCAAATTTCGCCGATTTTCAGGTCGAATATCGACAGTTTACAAGATGTCGACGCATAACTCGGGAACCAATTACAGCTAAAGCACCGCGGAAAAGCGCATTTGATAGCCATATTAGCATGCTTTCTGGTTACGGAGCGAGCGAAGCGAGCGTAGTCTTTCCTAATTCCTTAGATTAACGGAAATTTCTGAGTATGAGCGGCCGGCCGGCCGTGGTCACGCTTTTGCGAGGCTTATATCTCAGCAACCACTTGACCGATTTACACGCTGCAATTTTTGTAGGGTAGCTTGATTCCTTCTACCAAGTATTGGACTATTCCCGATGCATGTGGGTGACCCCTTATGCACGTGCCACGTGCAAAACGAAGAGGTGTCCGTTTTGTAATTGTTGCAATATCTCGGTAACTACTTGGCCGATTGCGCTGAAAGTTGGCATGTAGGTAGGCACCCACTAGGCACTGCATATCCATGTGCCAGAGTTGGGGCGCTGCTGCACGTGCGCACGTGCAGGGGTCGTTTCCAGATTTCGAGAACGGCTCCACCGATTGCGCTCAAATTTGGTACACAGTTAGGGACCGGTTAGTAGGGTGCCGTGCGCAAGTCAGTTGGGACCCATTTTGCACGTGCGCACGTGCAGGGTGCCGCTTCCAGATCTCGAGAACGGCTGGGCCGATTGTGCCCAAATTTGGCACATCGCTAGAGACCGGTTAGTAGGGTGCCGTGCACAAGTCAGTTGGAGGTACCCCCTCGCAATTTCGCACGTGCAAGGCCCACCCTCTCGCTCGCTCCGTTAGTCGCCCCAAAAGGCGTTATACTGGTTATTTCTATTAGATTTGACCTAACGTCAACGGTTTTGCCTGCAAGGGACAAAAACTACCAAAAAAGACTTTTTTTGGAACAGTTTTTCTGCAATAATTTTTGATCCATGCCTTGCACTAGCTTTCTTTTACCGACATCGTGTTCCTCTCGTCAAGACGCATCACATTAGCTACAATTTGACCTTGAAGGTCAACTTGAAAATTCGACCTCAGGTCAAGGTCATGATCTGACCGGAAATTGTCATGATGCATATCAGTCGATCTGCATCGTAGAGCCAAACACATCTAAGGCATTTTCATCGCCCTAGCATTCCTCTTTCAAAAGTTATTCGCGAAAAACTGTTAGATACCATTCGTGAACTGAGATGACCTCAGGGGCATAAATGAGGGTCACGGGTGCTATTTTCATGTTCAGTGTGTCAAAGCCACGTACAGTGTTTTATAGTCTTTAGAATGACTTTCGTCCAAAAAGGTGGTTTTGAATTTTCTCCCATTGACTTATACCTAATAGAGGTCGCAAAATTGAGCTGACCTTAGGTCACCGATATGAAAATTCCGAGATATAAATTTTGTACATGCTGTTGCCCTTATCAATCGCTGAAAGTTTCAAAGCGATCGGTCACACGGTGTAGCTACGGCATACATTGAAACATTTTATGAGGTGAGGTCACTTGAAGTGACCTGGTGACCTGATCTTGAATGACCTTGGTCTGAAATTTTTACAACACGTGTAGAATTGTTGGATGATGGAGCGCCACCGTTTTTGAGATATCCGCGAAAAATCGCAGGAAAAACCACAGGTGTTCAAACCCCCCCCCCCCCAGCACAGGGCGCCAACACACTTTGACGATTTGCCCCAGTAGTCAAAATTCCTTAGCCGAGGCCCTCTCTCTCGAACAAACGACAGATTCTATCTAATCTAACACCAGCCCGTCGGTTGCAACGGGCTGCTGTTCGAATTACCCACAAATGGGTGGGACGATATTTCGGCTGCATACAACAATGCTGCTCGCCACATAGCCATCCCCACGGCGCCAGCGTGGCAGTTTGCACTTTGCAGCGCTATCAGAGCGACTGTGTTTGTGGCACACCAGCTCTGTCAGTCCTCAACCGCTGCTCCGCACGGCGCCTCGCGGTACGAACTGATCCGACCAGCCGCAGCCTGCGCGGTACGCAATGCACCCTTGCTGGTGTTTGACCGTGCTAGGGAGCCTGGCTATGATAGTGGCCGCACAGGTGAGTGCTAAGTTATTCCAATCGATTGAATGTCTGATGATCCATACTGGATACGTCAAAAGCATGATTCCCGTCATTTACTCGCATTTGTATCAAGAGAGCATACGCCTCGGTAACGTAGGTAATGTTATATGACTCGGGTTGTTTCTACAGTACGGAGACCTAATAATTGCATCGTACAATAACCTGCATAACTTCCGCTGCAATGGCCCGTGAACTACTAGGTAGAAACATACAACTCGGGTCACAAGCTCAGTCGCCACCCACTTAAGTCTGCCTTTACCAACCGCGCTGACCGTGTAAACGCATTCGTGGCCTTAGTTTGGACACGACACGTTCACCAGAGAGCCCGGTTACAGGTGGGGAGGGGCGAGCACGCCAAACCGATCGTACCGGACGGTGGTACAGATGACCGAACATGCACCGGCGCCGGACCCGAGGACTGTGGCAGAGGAGCAGAGTCGGCTGAACACTGGACCGCTTCAACACATACGAAGGAGAAGGTGATAATGCACATCGGTGGGGTCAGCGACGATGTCGCAAGGTGGTTTCTAGGCCATGACAGATCAATTTTGTCGATGCTAATGGGCTTCCTTTCAGCACAGCACAGCTATTTCTTTTAGGCTAAGGAAAGGGGGTGCGACTCCCCTTGTCGTTTCGCCCCCCACGCGGAAAGAACGAGGCCTGTGCGCCGTTACAGGATGCAAGACAGTTACAAGACCCAATTCTATAAGGTCTCAGGTTAGTAGGTGACTCTTGAGGTTTGCTAGTATTGAGCACCTGATCGGTTCCAACCGTTCCAACCCATCATTCCCTCAGTTATCACTGAGGACCTCCGGGATTCAAGGGAGCCTGATGCTTTTCCTTTCCATTCCAACTGGTGGGGAGGCCACTACGTCAGCCTTTATTCAGGCAAAAAAAGTATTGTTTTGGGTAAGAAGCATTGATCATATTTGTGATTGTGAACGTGATCTTCCGCTAACATAAATAAATAATTCAACTTTGGTAGGCGCCGTCACCTTCCCAAAATAATATATTTGTTTCCATGTCATATACCTAATAATAATTTTTTAAATAGTTTGCGGGATGTGAACGATAATCTTCATTTCACAATTGGTAACGATTCCTATTGCCTATATAATATTACTCATGCATTTGAATATTTCCATTCAGAAGCCCTATGTCATTGAAATAGCATATTCAAAAGTTTCCTGTGTTTTACCCTCACATCAAGCTTCATTTTCCGAACCTTGAATGAATTTAGAAACACGCGGTGGCGCATTGAATTTTCCCGGGGAGTTTCGCGCGCAGGGTAGTTACTGGGTTCGGGTAGTGGATACCGGCTGTGAGGTCTAGATTTATATATTTTTAAAGAAAGAACCAGTCTTGCTAGCATGGCAGAAGTAATGGAGGTAAGAAAACCATTATGTTATTTGATGAGACGTCGATGCTTTGCCTGGTTTGAGCTGGCATTCCTGCGCCATGAATGTCAACACGTGGTCTCAGTGCGTAGTTCTAATGATATTTGAAATATAGCTTTTTTGTCGAAGTGTTTATTTATTCCATTTTATGATCATATGAGTCTGCATCTTGCTGCGTCCTGACTAGCTGCAAAAATTTATTCTTAATTCATTCTCGTTCTGCTTACAGAGTTTGTTTCTGCTGTTAGGTACTTTGCTTCCATCGATTTTCATCATCAGTTTTTTCCCTGCTGAATCCACATTCCACTGATTTAAAAATATTTCAACCGCATGGGGCATTTATAGTGGAAATATTGCTTTCTGTTCCTGATGGTTTGTTTCAATACTGGCATGGTGATTCGAAGAACAGGTTCCCAATCTGGCAGTCGTAAAGCAGGCGTCACACTTGTTTTTTTTTGTAACCAAGGAGAGGTGCTATACCCAGAGATGCTTTCTAATCAAACCAAACATAACCTAATCAAACCTGACCTGACCCTACCTACAACCTACAGGGCACAGGCTACAAGCTATAACCTACAGTGCCTCTCCTATAACCTACCGTAACCTACAGTAACCTACAGTAACCTACTATATCCTACAGTAACCTAACCTACAGTGCCTCTCCTTGCTTGCAAAAAACAATTATGATGCCTGCTTTGCTACTACCCCAATCCTTTAGGAGTGACAATTTGTGTGTTTAAGTGTTTGTGATTGAAGATTTCCTATGGTTTTGTGATTTTTGGGCATATAAAAATGCTAGCATTGCTGTAATTGCACCTCATAATTCTAGTATTTTTAACATATCTGAGTGAATGAATATTACAGTGGATGGTCATGGTGCTTGTCCTCTCCCAAGTCAGAGGGCTGTTCACGGGCCCTGTGTGCAGTCGGACCGCACACAGCCTCGAAGCTCCGCCCATTGCGTCCCTACGTCAGCCTTCCGTCACCGCACACAGCGATGCTGTGGCCGGCAGTGTTCTAAAATTGGATTTTGGTTGGGTGTGACGATGATGACCAAAAAATCTAGGATGAAAAAAAAACAAGTGAAAACCTATATCACTTTCGCAATAAAGGCGTAACGCTACGCTGGCTGATAATAAACGGGAGTGAACGGAACGCATTAGCGGCTCGCCGAATCGCGATTCCGGCCAAACATGGCCTCAAGAAATAGGTCACAGGTCAAAGGTCATTTGGGTCAGGAATATGAGATTTTCAGAGTAGGTGTCAAATTAATTGACTCGAGGGTCCTGAAAGTTTCGTCGCGATCGGCCGCTTTTTACGCGAGTTATTCTCGAAAAAACGAGGGGGTGGTTCGTTCGACCCCCCCCCCCCCCAACCCCTATACGGGCGAGGGATAATTTATTAAAAAGCTAGGGCCTTCTTAATCCCATCTACCAGCTTCAGAACATGTATTGGGCAGATCTGGGAATACCGTATCTTAAATTTATCCCTTGAGGTGTGCCAAGTTATCCTTTCATTCATCTTGGCTTTCCCTCGGCCGAACGCTTCGTGTTTAACCCTCGCACCGACGGGGGGGCGGATATCCGCCCCCCCCCCCTGAGGTTTTTCGCGAATAGCGGGAAAACCGCGGCGCGTAGCGCCGCGAAATTTGGTATGACTATAACCTCATCAATTTTACACATGGTGTGCAAGTTTGAACCTCCAACCTTTTAAAGGGACCCTCCCACCTTAACATTAGTTTTGAGTTGAGATAGCCAAATTGGTGGCCATGGCCTGAAAATACCGGTTTGGGCATTCACAACATCGAAAAATGCTTTAATTCGGAGATATGGAATTTCAAACTTGCAGTTTTCGGATTCTAAGGGGCTAATGCATTGGTATGCCCCCTTAGAATTTGTGACGTCAGCGGAGATCTAACGATTTTTAAATCTTTTACTAAAACGTTTGGCAGCACGCGGTGGTATATGCTGCTTTGCGCGCAACAAATGCCGCACTTTCAAATAAAGTCGCTAGGAACAGCGGAGATCCCAAAAAGTAAACAAAAGTAAAAGTCTAATATCTTGAAAACCGGTGAATATTTTTCGATGAAATTTGGAAGATATTCATTTTTGCTCTTTCTGAACCGAGCGACATCACTTTCATGCCAATTCATTAACTTTTTTGAAGGTGGGAGGGTCCCTTTAAGGTCAGGTCACCAGGTCACTTTGAATGACCCAACCTCAAGTCACTTTTTTGCAACTTTGTCACCGTGCCAGAGCTACAGTAGATGTCGGAGGCCTTTGAAAGTCGCAGGATATTATTAGGTCATTAGTAGCTACAATTTGTATATCTCGGAATTTTGATATCGGTGACCTAAGGTCAGGTCAATTTCGCGACCTCCCCATTATAAGTCAATGGGGGAAAAATCAACTCCCTGTTTTTACCACTAAAACGGGTCGGAATGGCCCCATATACCATACATGACTTCATATACGATCAACCTTCACTACCTTGAGGTCTGTTTTGCTGTTGGGCAGCTGTGAGGTCATGTGACGTCATCAAAGGTCACCAAAGGTTTTTGGCCAATAACTCCGTACAGGAACAAGATACAGACGCGTGGATGGTCTCTTTGTGTTCAGCTCGTCAAGACACATCGAATGATATACATGATGACCTCGAGGTCACGTGACCTGAGGTCAACCTTTGACCTTGACCTTTCGAGGTCAACATATATATCATTCGATGCGGATTGACGAGAGGATCACGATGATGCCCTTAGTTTGTTCCTATCTTGACTAATTCGAAAGTTATTCGAGAAAAACTCTCCATATCTAGCGCCGCCATTTTGACTTTTTCGACCCCTGTGACGTCATCTTTGACCTGACCTGAAAATGACCTTAGTAAAAATTGTAGATCTTGGCCGTGCGTATCCGATGCCGTTTACCGCTTGTCGCTATCTTGCTTCGTTCTCGAGATCTCAGGGGGGGACGGTCATCCGCCCCCCCCCCCCCCCCGTCGGTGCGAAGTTGGCGCAGACCCCCGTCGGTGCGCGGGTTAAAAACCTTTAGAAACTAATTGAAATAAATAATTGGCGGTAAGATTATTGCAAAGGCATGAGAAATTAACGTAAAATACATCATTACCGGTCTTATAACCTCATTTCGCGTATGAAACCTGCCAGAGTCCACAGAGTTTCATATTCATCCCCAGGGTGTGCCAGGGTGGCGTGTCAGTCATCTTGAACCCCTGCCCGACCCGACGCCTCGAGTTTTAAAGACATCTAAAAACTAATAACGTAAATAATTTGTGGTGAAATTGATATAATATGATCAGAAAAGAACGCAGAATAAATTAGTATCGGTCTCAAAACATTATTTTGCCTATGAAACCAGCCAGAGCCCGCGGAGTTTTAAATTCATCCCTAGGGTGTGCCCAGGGTGGCTTTTCTCATCTTGGACCTCTACCAGGCGCGACGCCTCGAGCTTTAAAGTCCTCTAGAAGCCATTGACGGACATGATTTGTGGCGAAATTAATGCGATAGGATCAGAAATAAACGCAGAATATATTGGCATCGGTCTCAAAACATTATTTTACCTACGAAACCAGCCAGAGCCCGCGGAGTTTTAAATTCATCCCTAGGGTGTGCGCAGGGTGGCTTTTCTCATCTTGGACCTCTGCCAGGCCCGACGCATCGAGCTTTAAAGTCCTCTAGAAGCCATTGACGGACATAATTTGTGGTGAAATTGATACATTAGGATCAGAAATGAATGTAGAATAAGTTGGTACCTGTCTCATACCCCTATTTTGTATATGAAAGAAGTTAGAGCAAATCAAGTTTTAAATTCATCCCTAGGGTGTGCTAGGGTGTGCCCAGCTGACTGCGGGTCCAAAGATGAAAATTTTGTAGGCGTATCCTGCGCAACTTAGTCAAAAGCGAAATGCAGAGGTAGTGTTTAATTTGCGCAAGCAGCGGCTCATCCGTTTTGCGTTGGCAGCAAACCACTAATCATAGTTGTTATGAATATCCAAAAGCATTTATTCAGAACACAAGCCTGGTTTTTACAAGCAGTTGAGGTGATCAAGGTCATTCAACGCATATTTGTTATTAACAGCTGGAAGTGTGCAAGGTTATTTTCTTTCGTTGTCAGTCAGGGTGAGTTGTTGGGTTTGTGGTGCCTTGATTTCGATTTTTTTTTTCATGGAAATTATGTATTATGTAGCAAACCTATAAGTTCTATTCTAACTGTCTATATGGCGCTGCTAGGTATATCTGGTAATCTGGCTGTTAATTGTTGAGCATGAGTTGAGCATTTTTCAAAGATGAAAGAATTCCAATTTACCTGGTTTTGGGGATGAAAATATTTTACCCATTAGGTGTGATTTTCCACCCAAAATTCCCAAAAATGGAACACTGGTGGCCGGTCGGGACTGGCCACAGCGGACCGTCTACCGCACGCAGCCGTGACGTCAGAACCACCTACCCATCCCCTACCCCCACGCCTGCTGGACGCACCGCACACACCGCACGCAGCAGTGTGCGGTGCCCGTGAACACCCCTCAGGAGTATCAAAATTCATCTACCCACCGTCAGTTGGGGAAACTACGAGGAGCCAAACAAAAATTGGATTAGCCATCAACGGCTGGTGTGGGCGGGGCGATGACCATATATGGTCATAAAATCAGACAACTTCATCTTTTCAATGCATCCTAGCATTCAAATGAAAAGATAAGGCATAAGAATGTTTTTAACCACACAAGACCCACACTCACTCGGTGCACAATTAACTGGCGGCTCTAGATCGCAGAGTTACAACACAAGGTCAATTAGTGATGGGCAAATATGGCGGATTGAAACAGATGCGCCAAAAAATGTAAGCAGTACCGTGGTTTAAAAATTTCATTATTTTTATTATTTTGTTTATAGTTTTTCTAATTGTGGTTAAGTTATTATTTTACAATTAAATATCTTTGTTTATTGTAATTAAATTAAATCTATTAACAATTTTCTTTCAAAAAACCAATCCATTTATTGAATGGCCAGCTGATTGTGATGCCCAGAACCTGCAGAAAAGCCTTTTTCCTATCGCCATTTTCCAGTCTATTCGCCGAATTTAATCAAATCACGCTAATTCCTAGTGGAGAATGGAAGCCTTTTCTCTCCAATAAGTGGACGCAATACCGCAAGTACCGGCTTGTTATACCGTTTTTCACCCTTAGTAGTGGGGGCTGTATTCATGCCCATATATGGTCATCAAAAGTCCATTTATTGACCAATCAATTTTTTTACTTTCGCCTCGTAGTTTCCCCAACTGCAGTAGCATTACCTAAATTGCAGTGACTTGGTCATGCAATACGCTGCTGAGTGTGATGCCACTGTCTTCTCTCAGCCACCATTCCTCTTATCATGATTGATGAATATGCCAAGGTTGACAGAGCTCTCATCAGCATTTCAGATCCTGTTTGACCCTGCCAAGCATCAGTCTTGTTGTTTTTGTTCTTTCATAATGCCTTACATTACTTACTGTGTTGAATTGTGTAGGTAATTGTTTTTGTTCTTCGCAGGTTGTAAATGCTGATGCTGCGGCTGGAGATGCTGAGCTCCTCAAAGCCAAGAAGGATGAAAAGGTTTCACCAGAAGAGATGACTTCCAAGGACTACTACTTTGACTCTTATGCCCACTTTGGCATCCATGAGGTAAGTCATGAGAGAATTAGCAAATTTAGCACATTTTGCTGCTTAGTGCTTTTATGACCATGACTTACTGGTTAGACATAATGAGTATGTATGCTTATAGGTACCACTCCTTGTGATGATTGATGTCCTTTAGTTCAGGTGCGATATCTAACCAGTAGTTGAAAAGAAATTGATGAACTGAGCAGGACATGTCAGGGTTGATATTTGCCAGATTTTTTGCATGGGCACCTACTGTCTGGTTAGCCTTTCAGTGAGACACAATTAGGTTATGTTCTGGGGCTGCACTTGAAGTAGTTTGATTTTCTCTTATAATTTTGTTATTGTGAATGTCAGGAAAAAGAATACCAGAAAAATCAAACTATTTGTAGGTAACTTTGTATAAATCATGTTTTGAGCACTATTGATTCAAAAAAGGTACCGAGATACCAGGCAGCTCTATATTGCTGCAGCATTCCAAAATTGTATTTTGGCTGCGTGTGCCAGCAGCAATAATTGCTGCCACAATTTGTGTGCTTTTTTGAAAAAAAAAAAATGATGTCACCTAGCAGACATGTGCTTGGATCCGGAAAAATGGATCTGAGATCCGATCCCATGGATCACGATCCGAGATCCATTCAGATCATAGATCCAACCCCTCAATTTTGTCGAGAGATCTACTGGGATCATAGATCTGACCCTTCAATTTGTCGCTAGATCCACTCGGATCATAGATCTGGCTCCCCAATTTTGTCGTGAGATCCATTGGGATCATAGCTCATAGGTGCTCAAAATGTTAACAACTTTCTTTCATAAGAAGTTATGAATACCAAAGTATGGTTAGAAACAAACAATCTTATACAAAGGCATATTAGTAAAGGCATCCAGTTACATTATACAGAATACAAAATAAAGGAGGCTCATGACGGTCACAATTTGAGAGAATTGAGTGACATGAAGATTGTTCACAGTTCACATACCAACAGAAAAGTTTGCATTAACAATTAACATAGAGGTAAGTCAAAGTAATGACTAATGAACAATACATAACTAGGTAACTACCACATCACAATTCATGTTAGAATCTACATAATGCTATTGATAAGACAATCTTGCATTAGACAACCATGAGGCTTTCCAGTTTCCAGCTACCACAATTGATTGATAAACAATAAAAGATGATACTGACACATGTGGCTTGGTTAGGTAAAGGTATTTCAATCTATTGAAAGAAATATTTGATAAAATAAACTGAGATATAAACAAAAGTATAAAAACATTCAACAGCCTGCGGAAGCGATGGGAAGCGAAATATCAATTGTAATGGCCTCGGATATTTACCGTAAAATGATTATTCAGTATCTAAATAGAACTCGTGACGTCATTTCAAATAACAAATGAGCTAGGCGTTCTACCTTCGAGTATAATGAAAATAAATAAAAAATCAAACTGGAAATTCAAAAGTCTGGAGTTTTTTTTTTAAAGAATGTTCATTTTATCTGCCTCACATAATTTTACGATACGATTGTTTGTGCATATCATCTTTGTAGCGTTACATTTAATGACGTAAACGTAAGCTGAAATGGTTTTACATGGCCCTGAGCGGTGTGCGCCTTGCATCTTTATTTTATTCACTTTTCTAAAGAATAACAATATCTTACGTCATTAGTTTAAAGGGCCTATTACGGGGAATCTTTTGGAATCATTACGGTTTTGGTCAAATTAAGATTTTTCATTGGTCAAACGATAATGACGTAATAAAACCATATTACCAAAACGTGAACTGTGAATTTCGTTTGTCTTTTTTTTTTTGGAGGCTCTCTCATAACAAAAGCACAGCGTGGCACCACACGTGGCACGATGCCAAAAGTAGGTAATCTGAAGAAGTTGATGCCATTTTTGAACTTGTAATTTTATTAGGTTGTAGAATATTAAGTATTAGAGGTTGGTTGCTATTCTTACTAAATCGAAATTGTGTTGCACATACTAATAGCTCATCGAACATTCTGGATTGGGATTTCATACCTGGCAGAAGTAGATTGCTGGATTATTTTTAACAAAACTGACCTATTTGGCTTCCAGGTTTGATTTCCTAACATCTGTCCATAGGCGGCAGAACAGGGGGGGGGGGGGTGGCACCAGGGTACAGTGCCCCCCATAGATTTTGGCATTTTAACATTAGCCCTACTGGCGTTGCATGGAAAGAATGGGACCAAAATGAAAATCTGCAGTGCCCTGCTGCCACTGCATCTGTCTGTACTGTTTGTTCATTGAATTTAAGTGGCTGTAGCTTGTTGATAAGATTGTCATCAGTGCTGTCATGAAAAAGTTACAATTGGTCACAAAAAGTAGCAATATGCAATATGCATGTTCTTGGTTTATTTTAAACGTAGTACAAATGTTGTTTATTTAAATTCAAATTTAATGATGATACCTAATGATTACAGGTGGTCTTAACCAATAACCATGTCCACAAGTGATAATTCTCAATTGTATTGCACTGTAAGGTTTATGTAGGATAAGGGTTTCATTGGCTACATGTCGTGAGATCCATACAGATCATAGGTCCTCCACAAATTTTTGCCCGCTGGATCCACAGAGATCATAGATCCGACCCCTAAATTTTGTCGAGAGATCCATTCGGATCATAGATCCAACCCCTGAATTTTGTCGAGAGATCCACTCGGATCATAGATCCAACCCCTCTATTTTGTCGAGAGATCCACTGAGATCATAGATCCAGCTCTCGGATCCAAGCACATGTCTGTCACCTAGCCTAGGGGACAATGTCTTTTTCTTCTGCACAAAATTGTCTTTATTTGGACTTTTCGGGATGGACGGATTTGTCCTACTGCCTTGCTTCTACCGCATCCACCGTACTTTGTACAAACATTTTATCAAGCGGACACGTCCTCTGCTGCTCCCTACCGAGCGGCTGCACCTCGCTACCTGTAACATTCCGATGCAGAGAGGATCAGTTCAATGCACCCCACTGCAGCTGGCACTGTGACACAGCACACCATGTCGGCCGCAGGACCGGCCGGAAACGTACCGGTGCGACCCGGCCGGGGGTGTTAGAGCGGGGGGAGGGAGGAGGGAATTCGAGGGGAGTTGGGTGACAGTTGCAGTGCTGTCTAGTGACCCAGAACACAGGGCACATAGCTGACATAACACAGGGCCTCAGCTTGGACCGCGATTGTGAAAAAGATTTGACCTTTTTTTCTTTTCTTTTTTCGAAGGTTGTTTAAAGTTCTACTTGTCTTCCGCTGAAAAACCTGAGATCGATTAACTGAGATAATAAATCATTCATGTAACATTGCTCTTATTTTTTCACATTTAAATGATCTTTGACTGCATGCAAATACATGAAATTAATAATATTACAACTGGATGACCATGGGTGTCTTCAGTCTTACTTGGGACTAATCACTTGTTTTATGCAGGGAGAATGGCCCTCTCAAATAATGCGCTCGTTATCCAAACTGCATGTGATCTGTCCCACAGCTGTCCCATTCACTCCTCTTCACCTCATCATTTCCCGTTGGAACCGTCCAACACAGCTTATCTCTCTCACACCCTCTTTCCCCCGACCCGCAGGAGATGCTGAAGGACGAGGTGCGCACGCTAACCTACCGCAACTCGATGTACCACAACCGGCACCTCTTCAAGGACAAGGTTGTGCTGGACGTCGGCTGCGGCACCGGCATCCTCTCCATGTTCGCCGCTAAGGCAGGCGCCAAAAAGGTCATCGGCGTCGACTGCTCCAACATCGTCGACCACGCCAAGACCATCGTCAAGGCCAACAAACTCGACCACAGTACGTGCTGGAGGCGACAGGAAGTGGGTTAGATGTGGAAGAAGGATAGTCGCTGTATCAGTTTTGGTATTTCGGAGATCGATTTAGAGTTTGATATGACGTGACGGTCCTGTCGTGATAAATGATACGCCGGGCCCGGCCATTGGCCTATGTAATTTGTGGAGGTGACGTTGTATTTGATAAATTACTATCTATTCCTGGTATCGCATACAGCTTTGATCCTTCTTTTAAATAATTCACGGTTCGATGGTCTTACGTTCATTTTGCTTGAGTAATACGCCTTGCCTGCCCGTGGAAATTTGCAATGAATTGATTCGATCCACCCTAACGTGGTTTTACGTAACATAGCTTACGTAAGTTTGTGTTATCTTTATTGACGATTAATGATCAACGGTCGTACTTTTTGTTGCTTTTTCCGAACTTGAGATAAGATTTAAAAGCTCCTCTCCTAAAATGGCTCGGTTCTCTCGACTTTTTAGGCCGATCGTCGATTTCTCTGTCGATTAATCCCACGCATGTTATCCCTCCAGTCGTTGAGATAATGAAGGGTAAGATGGAGGAGATCACCCTGCCGGTGGAGAAGGTGGACATCATCATCAGCGAGTGGATGGGCTACTGCCTCTTCTACGAGTCCATGTTGGACACGGTGCTGTACGCCCGCGACAAGTACCTGGCCAAGGACGGCATGCTCTTCCCCGACCGCGCCACACTCTTCATCACAGCCATCGAGGTGAGCTCTATCGCTACCGACGCTCTCACTCATAAAATAAACACGTTTAGACATGTGGCTCCGTAATTACGAGCAATTGGAGCTTACTACAAGTGGTGTTACTTGACATCTCATCTAGTATGCAGTCAACTCATCGGATGAATGTGACAAATTAGGTACCGTCTGATTGATAGTACCTAATGTGTCACATTTATCCTATGAGTTGACTGCATACCAGATGAGGTGGACGTCATTCGTATCGCTTACCCCCGTTGCTACCTTCCCACAGGATCGGCAGTACAAGGACGACAAAATCAACTGGTGGGACGACGTGTACGGGTTCGACATGAGCTGCATCCGAGAGGTGGCCGTCTCAGAGCCGCTGGTCGACGTGGTCGACCACAAACAGGTCGGTATAGCCCTCGGCTGTCGGCTGCGGATGGTTCTATATCCTGGTCACGCACTGCACGGTATACGGGCTACGTGCTGGCCAGGATGGAGACATTTCGGGCTGGGGGCGAAATGACCACGCAGTTGATCTAATACGCCAATAAATAAACTCAACAGCAAACAAACATCGAGCTTATTAGCGCGACAGTAAGACTGATCAAATAAATATTATGGCGTTTTAAGTCGTAGGTATGTACGAGCTATGAAGAATACTAAAATCGTACGAACGTTTAGAAAACTATTGCTGACTTTGGTGCTCCGATCTTCGGCGGATTTGAGATCGATTGACTTACTGCGTTGCCCACGTCCCTGCCTTTGCCTTTGGGCATAGTGCGCTTAGCAGCCTGTCTTTAGACTTCAAGTCGCCGATCAGTAAGACCCAAGACTGCAATCTGCCGGATAGTGCAGTACCGGCGAGTTTTTATTGTTCGATCGTGGTACCTGTCCGTGCTGGATATATCCCAGTAGGCATCATCCGAGCGGTATTGGCGAGCGGCGCGCTCCCTCGGTGTCTGTATATCCGCCAGTAAGTGGCCGCCCTCGAGCCGCCGGGGCCGCCCGCGAGCCGCCGTCTGTGCGCGGGCGGCCGGCGGCGGCGATCAGCCGTGACAGGCGGCCGATGCCCGTCAGACCCTCCGCCGCCCCAGAGAGCGTATCTCGGCGGTCCAGAGTCGGCACACATGGCAGCAGGTCTCTGGAGACCGCCGCCCGTCTCGGCACGCCGGTGTGGGTTTTCTGCCGAGGCCGACCGTCCGATCCCCTATTGGCAGAGGCGCCACGACGAGCCGCACTCGGGAGACAAAAACCTGAGTGGCGTGCGCCCGACGGACGATTTTTTGCCGATTGGGGATGCTGACTGAGAATTGTGTTGTAAATCTGTGTTGGGAGAGTTTATTAGACGGGTGTTTATTTCGGTTTGCGTGCGATAGTCTTATTGGGATAAGACTGCGCAGTTTCGATGCAATAAAACCACTGGGGTTGCGAGGATCGGTCAGGTTTGACGTTTCTTGGATCATGTATAGCTCCAATATTACCTTGACAGAACAGAACCTCATGTAGCTGTGCTATATTCGAAATATTCTTGCGTAACTTTTTTCTTCAGTCCAAAAGTCAATCTGATACGCTTCCCAGTGTCCGTACGATAAATTTGGCTTGCCTCCCATCTTTATTACATGGCCGTTTTACTTAGTTTGGAAATACTATTTTAGCTGCCAATTTCTCGGCAAAACACCTCAGTTTTATCAGACTATTGCATACCTAGCTGCTCCCCCTTCGCGCGCAGTAGGTTGCGTAAGACCTTTATCGCTCCTCTCCTGAACGAATTCCCCCCCCCCCCCGGTCTCTAACATCCACTCTGACTTTGCCCTCTGCTTTTTCTCTTAGCCTCTACCGTGCCTTCGACCACCATGCTACCTTTCGCTCCTACTGTGTCTCTGACCTCTGTTCTATCTCTGACCTCCGCCCTGACCTCCTTCGGCAGGTGGTGACCAACTCGTGTCTGCTGAAGGAGGTGGACCTGGCCACCATCACCAAGGAGGAGCTGGCCTTCTCCGCTCCCTTCAGCCTCCAGGTCCGCCGCAACGACTACGTCCAGGCCTTCGTCACCTACTTCAACGTCGAGTTCACCAAGTGTCACAAACGCGTCGGATTCAGCACAGGTAAGCTGCGCATGCAGGACGCTGTAGATGTGCGACAGTTGGGCAGTCATCGTTACACGGTTTTATCGACTTTCAGAATATCTCGGTATGTGATCAATCGTTACATTGTCCGTAAAGCAGAGCTCTGTCTGCGTGTGTTGTGTCCCGTTACCCGGGCAGTCGGCCGTATGCATAGGTCGGCGTTCGGAGGAGTCATTAGGCGCGGCTTATTGTCGGAGTGCCGCCGCCCGCCGGACGGTATGGTTATTGCTCATCTGGGGCCGCTGTTTGCCGGTGTTGCCGTGACCGCGGCCGGCCGGTGTGGGCAGCGGTTGGCGGAGGGGAGGGGCAGACTGATTCCCCGACCCGGTCCCCGATGGCTCGTCAGAATCTGCTCGGTCCGCGCCGACCGCCTTATACCGGCAGAGGCGGTGTTTTCGGTGGGATAGTTAGCGTTGTCCAGGGAACATAAGCTGGCCAGCCGTGATCGTGTGTACAAGTGCCCTTTTGACGTTGGGTGTTATATATTTATGTGGTGTATATATCTCAGAAGCATGGCAAATCCGACACGAGAGGCATAGAACGCAGCTTATACGAGCGTCATGGTGCTTATGACATGTGATAGGATCTTGATTTCCAAAAGTTACAGTAATGAACAAGTGTGAGCTCTGTATGCACCTATATACCTAAAGCCCTCAGCTGAAGACGTCACATCTGACGTCACCAATAACTAATCCTAGCCCCTCACAATACACTGGCCGGGCAACAATTTGGCATGTTTTTTATATAAAGTTCCTCCTTAAAAGTTCCTCCAGTATATACCTTCCGTTGCTGGACGTACCCCACTGATGAACCCATTGTGACACTTGACGTCTGTTGTATTTGTGATGACCCCGTCCAGGGTCCCGTTTGTAACATATCTCAGTGTTGCATGTGTTATGTGCCAGCGTTAGGATGCTTTCTGTTTACTACCGCTGTCTTCATGTGACTGGAAAGTCATACCTGTGGAAATTGATATGATCAGCGCCCGTCCATAAGAGCGTTGTTCCATAGTTGTCCAGTATCCAGTGTCATAAGAAGGATATGGAAAATTTTGTATGTGTGGACACCGCACAATTCATCCCTAATGTCAACCCTCACCATGTCTATAACTGATTGTCGCTCCCAACATATAACTGATTGTCGCTTCCAACAGGTGTGATTTTCCAGTGCGCCCCTCCCGCCCGTGCGCCCTCCTCCGCCTATAGGGGAGTCGCCAGCTGACTGCGTCCCGTTCTGACCTTACAGCGCCGGCGGCGGCCTACACCCATTGGAAGCAGACAGTGTTTTATATAGACGATACCATAACAGCCAAGGTTGGCGAGACGATCGAGGGAGTGTTCTCGTGCTCGCCGAATCCGCGTAACAACGTGAGTACCGGGCGCCGTCGCCGCGACCCTGACCCGGCCGCCTGACCTGACCCTCAGCGCCGGAGGCGCGCTACACCCACTGGAAGCAGACGGTTTTCTACACGTCCGATTACCTAACGTGCAAAGTGGGCGAGACCATCGACGGTGTGTTCTCCATGAAGCCCAACGCTAGGAATAATGTGAGTGACCGGTGGCGAGCTGTGTCGGTGGAGGAGTGAGGGCGACCGACGTAGGTGGTGGCCCCCCAGGGACCGGTCAGCCGAGGGAGGGACGAGCGACGGTGACGGTCTATGCCTCCCCCGGGACGGGGGTGAGACTGGACGGACGGTGGGACGGTGGGCAAGGAGGGACAAAGTATGGAACGATTGTCTCTGTTAGCTCAGGGGCGGCGCGGAAAACGTTATTGCGAACAGCCGCATCCGTGCGGTTCTGTTTCAGTTAATTTTCATTTCATTCTAGCACCATTGGGGGACATGACTCAGATCACTTTCGGGGCCATTCATACACGAGTCATATTTTCATTTTCCTGGAAAGTCATGACCAATTCTAGAGCAAGGGAAGGAGTAACGAAATTGAAATATAATTCGGCTACACATGCCGTAAATGAATCACTTTAAATTCCATTCTGATCTCGGATTGCCCTGCTCCTACCGAAGATTTATGAGAGCTCATTGTTCATCAGTTATCCCTATGTATGCCTACAGAAATACAGAAACTGATGTCCAGGAGAGAAAATTAGGCACCATCTGTATGTAATTTTGATGTAGTTCTGCAATTTTGTTTCTGAACCTGGGATGAACTAATAGTTTAGATGAACTTCCTGAGATTGTCTAGAGTACTTAATCTGGACATGAACTCGTTTCCGGTACATTGAGGCGGCTGGCGTCGAGTGAACAATGAACGTGGTCATCTTTCATGGGGGCGCAGGATATAACCGTTCAAGAGGATTTCCTCTGAATATTGCCGATTATTTTCGGCGTATGCTTGAACAAGTGTTGACGTTTTTTACTTTGATTTCGAGATCCAACTTATTTCTTTGCCCCGGACTGAATTATCATGAAGGTTATTTGAAAAAAGCCCTCCCCTTTAACCAAGCAGTCGGCGACATTGGGAAATTCGGTGTTTTGTGGCGATGCTTTGCAAGAATTTGTGAGCGCAGTCAGGTTTCACGGCGCCTGTATAGCTCTGTGTCGCTCTGAACAGCAGAGGTCATTTAGCTTATTTTCTCGCGAGGCGGCACCATTTTCCGTTTCTGGCCGTCGGTTTGTGTGACCGTAGCGCGTGGCTCGCCCATTTCCGCTTGAGACAGCTTTGTCTTTGTCTGTGGTTGGCAAATGTCATTACGGGCGACGGCTGAGGTCCTCTGCAAAATGTGGCCGCGCCTGCCCAATGATTTCCCTGTGGGACGCTGGCGCGACTTGCGCCCATTCTGTTCGGACGGCCACATTACGTCCATTCGAAACACAAACTCGGATACCGTGTACGATCCTCGCGCTGGCAGATATGCCCGCCGGCGATGTTCGGTCCGAGACAGTTTTGTGTTCGGCTGTCCGCGAGCCAAGGGTCGTTCGGGGCCCGCCGATGGCCGCTTGGTGAGCTGAATGGACATTGCAGATGTTAAACCAAACTATGTTCAGTCTCAAGTGCGCTGAAAGGCCATGAGTGGAACGCCGTGTCAGGGAACGCGAATTCCTTCCCGGCAAGTTTCCAGCTGTTGGTGAAGTCTGACTTCTATGTCAGTAGGCGGAACTATGGTCATGAGTACCCAAATATAGGAACGTTCCCATTTTTGGGAACGGAGTTCCCAAATATGGGAACGGGCGTTCCCATTTATGAGAACGGAAGGCAATTTTTCGGCCGTTCGCCCACTAAAACTCAAAAGTGCATCACGTCTCAAAAAAGTGCACGCTGATTTAAGTATCTACTAAATCTCCATAAAGTTGTCTTTAATCTGACCGTGGAACAAGGAAATTGACCGTGGAATGATATTTTTAATGATTTTTTAAAAATGACAGAATGGTGGAAATATGGGTTATACGACATTTAACATGCAATTTTAAGGAAAATGAAGCATTTTTTACATTTTGAGGTCAAGTATAATAATTTTCGCCTGGTTATGAAGTTTCATTCTAGCGACACCAGATGCTGACATATGCAAGCGAACACGCGGACAGTCCCGAGGTAATATTGTTGACTTTTGGTGTCGGGGCGATCGACCGCGTGGAACGTCAGTGATTTTACCGAACTACTGTTGTAAACTCAGTTTCAGTGGTTTAAAATCATTCAGCTGTATTTTATCAGCCCTGAAAGACATATTTTATTTGGATGCTAGCTGTTTAGCGTTGTTTTATAAGCAGCGTCATGAGCGTGGTTTTTGTCTTCGGCGTTTCTAAGCATGATCGTTTGGGGGAATTTCTCTGATATAGGTCGCTCTGTGTGGCTTATTTATAATTTTTATGCTGATTTCGATCATACCTCGTGCCCATCCTACCAGGCCTTTTGCCACTTACACTCATTAAGAAAGGAAAAAACTAGATTTTCATTGGGACTAGGTGTTTTGAGGGTGTAACATATTCAGCGTTCCCATTTTTGGATACTTCTTGTGCTCGTCAACTCTCGGTGATTAGCAGACAGGTGCTTGACATGTCTCCACCCTCGGCGCGGACGGTGGATATAGGTATGGAAGACCTTGTTGAACATCGCTGAGCGTTGTGGATTACGTAATCCTGCAGAGGGGGGCGTGCCCGCTGCGAGATCGACGGGAATAAAAGCGCAGAAGACCGGGCGAAACATGCAACGGTCTTGCGGGAAAGGTCATCTGATGATTGTTGCGTTAACAATAATTTGCGGCGTTGGACGTGATGCTTGTTAATGAAAAGAGCCCCTGAAAGGCTTCGGTGAAATCGTTCCCAATTTTGGGTACGCCGTTCCCATAATAAGGAACGCTTGCAGCGCCAGTGTACGAGAGCGTTCCCAAATTTGGGCTCGCGGCCCGGGTGATGGACTGCTTTAGAAATAGGGGAACGATTTGAAACTACGATGGGCCTTACAATATCAAACTCTTTCCCAACAATATTGAGACAACTATCAGGCGGTTCACGATTGTTTTATATTTTTTGGACGTCATTTAAGAGTTCTTTTTCTTGTTTTAAATAATGCCTACATGGCGTTCCCATATTTGGGTTTATCGTTCCCAAACATGGGAACGAAAATGCGTTCCCGAAAATGGGTACGCTTGACCATAGTTCCGCCTACTGATGTCAGTGTATGCGACGGACAGTAGACAGCGCATTGCGTGATAGCTGAGTGCTGACCCTGACCCTGACCTGAACTAACCGCCGGGACAAGTCATTAATATTTGGTCTGGTAGCCGAATCCATAGACGTCCTATGTGACAGGTGTAGTCCCGCCTCTGTGAACCCGAGCGAGTCGCCAACCGAACTCAGGGGGTATCCTGGCTCGGTCGCCGGCCCCTAGGGTGGCTGTCGTTGTGAGAGATCAAAGCTGCGTATTCGTGGTTGGTTGAGTCATCGAATCAACCTTACCAATCGACTAATGATAAATTCATGAGCGCCTGATGAATTGGCAGGGCAGATTAAGTGTGTTGAAACGTTAGCAATACCGGTTGCTTTTGCTGACATTGCAGCTGATCTTTTCTTATTAGATGGCCGGCCATTTTCGCTGCCTGCCTGGTTTTAAATTTGCCTCCGCCGTATGCATTCGCCGGTCATAATGTCATTGTTGACGTGTAGCTTTCAACAACCATCCTTGTCTGTTATCTCCCATAATTCACGGAAATTTTCGTATTCGGCTAGCTCTGAGATTCGCTAAACTCGCCGGCTGAGCACGAGCAGCCAGCTTCTTTTCCACCTGCGTTTGACCGCTAGCCCCGATCTTTCTGTCATTTATTCGCGAATGTTCCCCCTGTCACCCGCCTTCACCTGTCCGTCGCACGTCTGTAGTGTTTTAACGCTGCTCCGCCGTTGTTCTCAGCGTGACCTGGACTTCAACATCAGCCTAGAGTTCCACGGAGAGCTGTGCACCGTCAAGGACAACAGGAGCTACAAAATGCGCTAAGGACACTTAGGTGAGACCATGGTGATATGTGAGCACGACATCCGGGCTATTTCGTGGTTCATTGTTTCATTTACTTGTGATAAATGCAGGGCACAAATAGCTGCTTACTACTGGCATAAAAATAAATACGACTGTTGGACATGCGTAAGAACTTGTGAAGCGTATGGAGGGAATTAAGCCCATAGGTTCGGCTAACAGATATATCCTCCCGTCACAGAGGACTTCCAGTCGCGGTGCGCGCCGCCCGGTCCGCCGACGTTCCGGCCGTCGTCGCCCCGCAGCGAGCAGCCAGAAGCGCGGGCGTCACACGGCAGTCGCAGCTCCGACCGGCCCCGAGCGGCGCGAACGCTTTTGAAACGTGTACTTGGACCGTCGTGGATGTATGGGGACAACCGACCCCTGAAACGATACGTTCCTCTCTGGCGTCGGTCGACTTTGGACGGATTTTCTCTCGCTGGCCGCCCTGTGTACGGTCCTCGCTGACATGTCAGACGGTTGTCGCGCTGTTGATGGTTCGGTCCGCGGCAGTCCCGCCGCTGACTGGCGGTGAGGCGGCAGCGGCCGGGCCCGCCGCTGGCGCGCGCACTAGTTACGGGTCGCCACGGCCCGCCTGCTGTGATGTAGTTCCGCACAGTCCGCGCGTCCCGCCCGACCGCACTCCGGCCCCCCATTCGGCGGCGGCCGCGCGCTGGGCCGCCGCATACTATGTGCTCGTGCTTTCGTCATCAATAAACCCATAAAGTAGACGCGCTTGTGTAGCTGTGTAGACCAAATGCAGACACGTTAACCGGTATATTCCGTGTATGCCATCACATCACAGTTGACACAGTGTGAAACGGACGACACAACCAGGTCGGAAATACCGACCAAGGGCGGGGCAACAGGACGAAACACAAACGTGCAATGGGAGCACGAGTTCCGCCCACCTTCACCCGCTGAAAACGAACTCAACAAAACAATCGCGCGGTGCTCACCGCACCGGAACATGTATCGGAAAAGTGCTGATTCAGGAAATCATTGTGCCCAAATTAAAACACTGCAAATATCGTTAATTATGTCCGGTTCCATTTCAACAAGACACCATCTGTTCCAGCGTGAACAGATCGATATCCCCTGCACCTTAGCGTCACTCGAGTACACAGTACATCTCACAAACAACCCCACCGATTCTCAAGTTCTGTCCACCGACCTCAGCATTCTGGACTGTAGAGTAAAACATGAATTTATGTGCATACGAGGGTGGTGTGATACGATTTTGTTGGTAAGTAGAACGAAGAGAATGAGTATATCTCAACGATATTGCTGCCACATGGCGCGATGCAAGGCAGGGCACATATTCTGCACATTACGCGCTAATCGTTAGCTGGTGAGGGTCGACGCTATGCCATGAGAAGAGAGCTATACCCAGAGGACAAATGCAACAAAGACAAACAGAGAGCCGCGCGATCTAAAACACTACATGACAGCGATACACAGCTCACCCCAATCCCCACACCCGCCAACGGCCGGAGGGCGCCGTGACATCCCTCTCCCGACGCCGCGACATCCCTCTCCTGACGCCGCAACATCCCTCTCCTGACGCTCTACACGCTCAATAAATAGGGGAAACAATAATACAGTTTGTAATTTGAGCACACCGAATCGAGCCCGAACTGAGCGTCCGCCGGAGACAAGGCCTGGTCCCTTGTAAAGGACCGCTGAAACGTTTGGCAACGTATCTTTGTTTAGCTGGTAGGCCCGTGAATGAAAAGTTGGCGTATTTCTGGCAGAAATCACATTCACGTGGTGTAAATTTTGTTTTCGGTGAAACGGTACATCCATGGCGGTAACAGCTCAGTCGGCATGGCATTGCACTCGTGCGAGAGTTTAAATATGGCTTGTACCTAACCGCGCTAATAACCAATAGGTGCTAGCAAAGCATTTACGAGAATTAATATCTGTATGAGAAGCAATCACAGTGTTGTGAATGACGAGTTGACATTTGATCCGTAAATAATTCAGACCAGCGTCCTTTTTACATTAGTTCACGCCTGATCAAATATTCATCGCTCTCCCAAACCCAATTCCCCTAGTTCGAAAATAGTGTTTTGACAATCCCTGACAATTACTTTGTGTCACGACCGTAATTTTCACAACACATTCACCTAGGAAACTGCAACAGTCTAGCCCTCTACATTCTATCAGTAGGACATCACATCTCTACGGATGTCCATCAATGCCGACACAAATAGCTAACGCCAGCTTTACGCCGGCCTCCACCTACAAAACAACTTCGTCGTCAACAAGTCCTATGGGCTGGGTCCAACACGGAACCAATACCAAGGGACACACGGATGAGCCCTGCTCTCTTCTAACGCCACATTCTAGTGCGATGGCAGCCGGTACCCACAGGCCTACCCTGCTCTTCTAGTGACGTTCAGGGCACCGCAGCCCCTCATTACATTCACCAGCAGCTGGGCCAGCGCGGCGGCCGGCGCGGAGGCAGGGAAGACAGGGCTGGGTCGGTCGGCTCGCCGCGGCTTCACTAGCGGCCGGCGACTGCAGCGCCGCCGCGCGGGCGAGCCGGGAAACTCACCGGCTCCGCAGGGACCGCGGGCCCCGAGCTCATACCTAGCTCTCGGGACTGATGAATAGAGCGCTGACGGCGAATATCAGGAATACCACGCCGCCCACCAGGGTCACTGCAACGCGAGAGGGCGTATAGTGTTAGCGGGTCACCAGGAGACTGGAGACGCGATGTTCTAAAACAACCGAAAAAAGAAAACGGCATCGTCGCTCGAAGTAAAAATGAAAAGGAACGACAACAGCGGATTTTTCTAGCAAATCACAACTCCACCTACGTTACTATACAAGCGTCATCTGCTACTCTCCACTGCCCTGTCGTCCCTCCCTTTCCAACAACTGTTAGTGCACAGTGTGCATCGTCAGCCTCCTGCACCCCCAGTGCATATGCACGCCTCTAACAGCTGTCATAGTGATCTGTTAGCCGTCCCCTCCACTCTCTCTCTCTCTCCAACTCACCGGTACGTGCTGAAATACGCTGTGAGATGAGACGACCACCAATCACGGCCAGTCCGGTGCAGAGCGCGTGACCCAGACACCCGCCCAGGGTCACACCCCAGGCGTCCTGAGGGGGGCGACACGGGGTCAGAGGTCAAAGTGAACCACACGGGGTGAGAGGTCAAAGTGAACCACACAAGGGCCATGACCCAGAAACCCGCCAAAGGTCACTCCCCACGCGTCCTGAGAAGGAATGACATGGGGTCAGAGGTCATATACACAGATACCCGCCAAGGGTGACACCCCAGACGTCGACCTGAGAGGAGGCGACACGGGGTTAGAGGTCAAAGTGAACCACACAGGGGCCGGACCCAGGCACCCGCCCAAGGTCACACCCCAGGCGTCCTGAGAGGGAATGACACGGGGTCAGAGGTCATTACACCCAGATACCAGCCCAGAGTGACACCCCAGGCGGGGGCGACATGGTGTCAGAGGCCAAAGTGAACCACACGGACCGTGACCCAGTCATTCGCCCAGGGTCACGCCTCAGGCGTCCTGATTGGGGGGGGGGGGGTCAAATCGGGTTAAAAACATCACACGTATACTTGTTCAAGCATAAGATCCCCTCCGTGTTAGTGATGAATAATTATAATGACTCATGATAAACGCAATAGCTCAGCAATCCGATCGCCGTATCTGACAATTTACACTCAATGTTTATCGATACAACCGTCCTAGATCAACCTAGATCGTCATGGCGACGGCCGTCGTGCGAACCGCTAGTTACCTCTCTGGCTCCCAGGAGGATGGTGGCTATCTGCGAGCGGTCGCCCCACTCGGCCAGAAATGTGAGCGTAAACGCCTCGATGAACACGCGCGATATGAAGGCGAACACACTGCCCCGCCGCGCCACGCCGCTCTCGATGTCCGTGGAATCCTTGGTGCGCTGCCGGAGGGAAGGGGGAGAGTTAGCAGGGTGTCGGGGTCACTCCATTGAGTGCGGAGTGCGTGGTATGTTCGGAAGTACAACGAACGGTGCATTGTTCACAAGCTTCAGCCACAGTGGTAGCTGCACGGCGGTTGCAGTACTGGAGGGGATGGTGCAAACTTCAGTGGAAAGGCACGTGTGAACTGTACGAGGAATTTTATAACATTGACAATGGCGAGGGTGTATGACAAGAGGATTAAATTGGGACGGACTGCGCACGATTTACCAAAACACATACCACACGATGGCGAATAGCACATTGAAAGTACGTTACAAATACATGAAAGTTACATTCGCTTGGGAAGAACGGGATACAGGAACACAAAGTGTGAACAATGCTCCAATGCGCTACATATCCAACGTTTAACAAGTAGGACTATAATCCGTAACAAGCCACGATGATAGCATTTACATGACTAGTGTCGAAGCCTCATGCCGCCGAGCGAAGCCGTACAGGATCACCCAGGAAAATCGTGCCGCCCTAGCACGCGATTTCCGTATAAGGAAACACCGCGTTCCACACGGTCCTCGGTCCGGTCGACAGTGTCGTCCTAACATCTATCGGCCGCTACAATGAACGGTGGCAGCATGTAAACTGGTTCAGTCTAACGGTGGGAGCTACAAACGCGGCTTTCCAAACGTGCGAGAACAGGCACCGGTAAACAATCAATCCCTACAGCGTAGGTAGGGTAGTTGGGGAAGTGACGTGCATAATCTGTGGAATTATAGCATTACTCTTCGCTTTCCTTTTATCAACATACAATGCCGTTTTACATTCTCGGACGCGTTACGGCATACTCTCAAACCTCTTCTTATTGAGTTCAAAAGATATTAACTACGAACTCGCCGGCTGTCTTCAAAGCTAGTTCGATCTCACTAAACGCAACGCCAATGGTCATCTTGATGCTAGCCCCACATTCATCGTTCCGCTCCCTTCGACACTCGTCTCCATCTCCCCATTCGGTATTGTGATCGCTATCACCCTCCCCCTCCCATCCCCGAGGTTAATCTCACCACCCCAGGCCCACCCCACTCTCACAGTCCCGCCCCATCCCACCCGTGCGGCACTGACCTCCGTGCCTACTGATCCATCAGTGCGCTAAAATTGAAAAATTCGGGTGCCAATGACACCCCAACACCATTAATACGCCACTCAGAAATACTGTTCGTTCACAAGTCGAATATGAGTAAACAAATCACAAATCCAGCTAATATAAGTGCCAAAAAGGCCTCTTAATGTTCTATTTCCAACCCTTCTCGCTTTCGTCAAAAAAATTTTATCCTCGACATCCCGACTCAAAAGCAGCTCCGGTCTCCGGAACACGGTCACCCCCCCCCCCCTCCATCCTCCCCCTCCACATCCGCTCCCATCTCGCCCAGTCTGTCTCTATACTCACCTCGTCCTCTCGTTTGCGCAGGTCGCTCTGCACCTCCTCAAACTCTTCCTGGGCTTCGTTCTGGCCCATGTGGTAGCCGTCGTACAGCATCTTCAGACCAAACACGGCGAACAGAGCGCTCGAAATGTAGTAGGTGTACGCACGGGGGATGATCTGAATCGAGAAACCCAGCAGCACTGAAACGGATATGGTGAGACGGTCACGCGCGGTATGAGATGCAGCGTGCGCAGTGTCTGATGGCGAAGAATGGAATTTTGTATAGCAAGGAGGTACGGATGGCAGTGAAGAGACTGGAATGCTTGGCGTAACTGGTCAATTTACTGCATAAAGACTAAAATTATCGGAAAGCAATAAAAACGCAGATCAGGTTATGCAAGATACTTATATCTAGTGCGACATCGTTTATGAAGGACCCATGTTAGTCTGATGGCTTCATCGCTGTGATGCGCTATCAGTGCGGGTATGCTGAGTTCATTGTGTAGTTCAGTACCGGCTAGCGGACCTGCATCCGTTGAAATAACCTGGAAATGGCGGAATGAGATGGTATCTGCTCGTCTGTTCGGAGCAGTGTGCTATTCATCTGCCGTTCGAAAAATGGCTGCAACTGAATGACACTATCCAGCCGCGACAACCGACAGCGATTAACGCGATTTCCCTTTTAAAGTGTTTTATGTGACGTAGATTGCGGTCGCGATTTGTGGTGTATTGGTAAAAAAAAAATAATATAATAATAATCATAACCCGGCAGTTGCTGGGGTATTTCGCCACCCACCATTTGCTGGGGAGGGGCGTTAAACGCCCCCAGCCGATAACTCGAGAACCAATAGGCGCAGCGAAACGCACGAGGCGGCAAACGAAAGAACGCGACGAGACGCTTCAGATGAGTACTTTAAAGTTGAATTATGAGGTCACAGGTCGGGTCAAGGTCAGGTCAAACACCTGAAATCGGGCTTTCAGTAGCATGGACTTCAGGACTTCGCAATGGGCGCCTCTCGTCAGAAACTCTGTCAAAACGGTGCACAATCCATCATATAAGGCCTACAAGAGTGTCAGTTCCATGTAGGGGTCAGTCAAGTATAGGTCAGGCCCAGGGTCAAGGTCAGGTCAACCGGGTAGGCACATATCCCCGAAAATTAAAACTGATATTCGCAGCCTATGACACATGTTTTATGGGTAATTTGGGCCGCAGAACACGATGGTGACATTCATTTTATCATATGTGTACGTGTTTGGCTCAAAAATTCATGTATCATGGTCGTGAAGTAGTCACGAGAAATTGTCAAGATTCAGTTCAAGATTTTGGAAAATGCGGAACGATAATCAATAATCGAAGATAGCCATTTGATTGTTCATGGTATTGGCATTCTAATGGCGTTTACGGCATGTCTGTATGTCTATTCTGTGATTTTATATGATTTTTTGAACATATGCCGTTTTTGGTCGAAAAATCAGAAATCATGACGTCACTAAAACCTCGATATCTCAAAAATTTTCCGACCGATTTTTTTGAAACTCTGTCACAATAAACTTCAATCAATTCCCTACAGGTACCCAAAATTTGGCGCGCCTGCGGCGCGCCATTTTTATGCTATGGCCCGGCGAAAAAAGTGGGGGCGTTTAACGCCCCCCCCCCCAGCAACTCGCGGGTTAATAATGATAAAAACAATAATTATAATAACATTTAATACCCGCGGATAGTGTGTAGTGTGTATAGATCAGACAGATATCATTTCTCATCTTCTATCTACAAAACATGCGGTCTCCTCTACGACCACGAGCGTGGAGGTTTCTCAGCGCTATCAGTCACAGAGAGCGGGGAAACTTGGCACCTGTCCGTGCTTGGCATCTGCTCATTCTGACCCAGTTTCCCGCTCGGCGACAATTCACAGTCATGTGACCGGTTCGCGCCCAACCGCTGTGGCCTGTATACACTGATAGGTACTGAGAGATAGCCAAAGCCAGTGTATCAGACTGGACGCACGCGACACAATGCCTGCAGTGTACCGATTTTTTTTTTGCAAGTTGGTAATTTGCGTCCTTACTATCCGACAGAAAGATGGATGATCAGGAGTGCGCTGTTGAAAATAGCCTTTAACCGAACCAAAGCTTATCTTTTAATGCATAGTTAAATGATCATATTTTCAAATTCACCATTGTATTGTGCAAAGTCCATGGCGATTACATTTGTAGTTTCTTACATTGCCTCCATACAAGCGGTACAATCATTCATATTGGAGGGGCAATATCTGTCGACGTTTCAACCTCAGTCCTTTCACCCTCATCCTTCAGTGGATTTCCACCAGCCCCCAGTCCGTTCTCATGGTCGGCCGGCTCACCTGAGAGAATGGTCATCGTGAAGAGAGCGGCGACGGCGCCAAGGAACACCGTCAGCCGAGAGTGCTGCATCGACATGATGGCCGCGATGAAGAAGGTCTTGTCGCCCAGCTCGGACACGATGATGACCGAGAGGGACGCCACGAAGCCGTGGGTGAAGCTGACGTCCAGGGAGCCCTTGGGCTTCTCGGTGGCAGAGGAGGAGCTAACCGCCGCCAACTGGGGGAAGGGGTGGTCACGTGAAGGGTAATTATCTGGACTAGGACACGTGGTCGCAGTCACACTTCTAAGAGATCAAATCACGATACAGTGTGGGTAGTCAGTGGGTAAACAGGAGGAGAAGTGGAGCACCATCATCGAAAGGTCAAGAGAAAACGTGATGATCGCTATTCGGGTTTTAGGGCGGCAAACTGTTGCGGTTATTGTCGCCACGCCATGCAAGAGAAACGTGATAATTGCCCTGCGGTCAGTGACCTGTTAAATGCATCATTAATTGGGCAGTGAGTAACCCCTCAAGACTGATAAGTGGACGGGGTCGGACATTGGCGCAGCTCCACGTGGTCCTATGTAGTTACGCGGGCGAGGGGCGAGTGGCGAACACCTGTCAATGTGCAGCGATTATGTCTTGCACTGGTGAGGGTGGTAGATTTAACAAGCGAAGCACCTGTGGTTACATAGGGAGACAAGTAATGAGGGAAACCTACATGGCGATTATCATCAAAGTAATTCAGCCAAACTCACCACACCTGGAATAACTGAGGGACAGTTGGACAGACCATTACCACCAGAATATTGATGTAAGGCTGATACCTCACTGTTTATGAATGTGAGAAAAATAAGGTCTGCAGATGCTTCTTACAAGATAAGTAACCACAATGGATTATCATGTGATAGAACTAAGACTGATTACCTCAGCTGACAGCTTACCTCCTCCTCCTGTTCTGGTACAACTGCAGAGTGTTTTTCACTGTCATCTTGGCTGCTGGCCACTTGGGCTAAGGCCAGCATGGCCAGCATGGCCGTCAGCACAGCCAGCCGGCTCATTCTCAGCCTTTCAATCATCAATCTGAAAAAAAAAATCATTAAATGAGGTATGAAGGTTTGCAACAAAAAAAAGAGTATCACTTAACAAAGGACAACATTTCTTGATCCACAAGTTGTTGATCAAAAGTCAATCATTATGATGACATTAATCATGGCCTGAGTCAAGCATTCAAAAAGACAGCTAGACATAAAAAACAAGACATTGGGCAAAATGGTTAAGGATTGAGGAAATACTTATAAAGGGCTCAAAGCTGGCTGAAAAGTAAGGAAATGAAATGCCAGTTATGCTACCAGTACCCATTAGCAGAATGAACACTGCTAAATTTCCCAAAGGCTTTGAAACAGCAGATTTTCAGGACTTCATCTCTACTGTGCCTCATAAAGGGCTCACTTTACAGCTCAGTGCTTCACAATCACACCTCACTCCAGAGCCAGTACGGTGGGACTGACAATGTGAAGACATATCTTCAGTGAATAGTTTCAAGTTTGTATGTGTCTTCATTGTCAATAAAAACACAGATCTATTAAACAAAGCAAGCCAAATGAGACATGTTAAAATTGGTTTACGTGTTTGAGCCATGGATGGGTTCTACAAAAATAAGAGATAGGTATTTAGGTACTTTCCCTTATGTCAAGTATAGTTAGTCAATCAGCAAACTAAACAGCTGCCTGCTGCACATATTTAATTTACAAATCATAGAGCTTAGACAGCAATATCAGCAAGAAATATTGAGAAACATATAGACTGTTGTTAACACCACTGACCACACAAAACAAGAAAAACAAAGCAGATACCAGCCAGAAAGGAAGCCCACTTGCTAGGCTGGTAAAGAAATAGTTTTAATTCAAATTGACTGCCTTAGAGTTTACTGATTCAAAGTGATTTATGAATGAAGGTAAGCACTGTACCATTCGCCTTGCCTGCGGAAGCCCAATTTTAAGGTTCATCAAGAAATAAAGTTTTAATTGACTACCTACCTACCTGTCCTATGGATGAATCAGAATGAAGGTACACATTAAATGGATAGAAAGTTGCTTTTGCATCATTATCATTATAATTACAATAAGAATACATCAGAATCCTTTTGCTTGTAGCTAAAGGAACAATCCATCAGATTTTTAGTCAGCCTTTTTGTTTGGGGCAAAATGTTATTTTTCATTTTTATTGCAATAAATATAAACAAAAAAATACAACACAATGACATACAATTTGGGTTAAGCACCTCATCCACTGGCAAGTGCTATTTGCTAACCAGAACTCTCATTTAATGCTCAAAGCACAGAAACTGCAGTAGGTACGGTACGATCATGCTGGCCCGCCACTTCACCACGTCAATCAATCCAGCCTGGATAGATGAGCGCACAGTCTCAACCTAGGGACTGTGCATCAAATGCTGCCTAGTGACAATTTAATTGGAATGTCGTATCACCGAAAATTACTTAGGTAGGGACCTAAGCTAAGTTGTTGCTAAAATTGATGCTGGTTATAATTAGCCCAGGAATGGGAACAGGAAGGGATGAGAGTGAGATGACATAGCTAAAAGATACTTGGCTGAAACGAAAGCACTCACTTTTCAAAAACAAGCAGAGACCCCAAGCAAACGTGCCAAAAATAGAGAGAGATGATCGGAAGCCCAAGCGGAAGCCTGCGGCGCACAGTGGGCCAGGCTCTTCAAAAAAGCGGAATTAAATCATTGAGCACAGCTGCGGTGCCAAAAACGATTCGTTACAGGGTAAAATATCATGCTAAAGCCGATTCCGATATCCATTTTCAATTTTGATTGGTTACGCTAGGTCACTGACCTATGACGTCATTATTTAATTTCTGCGCTGCACATATGCCTGGGACAGGCGGGCACTATGCCGCATTGGCCGCGCGTTTGCAGTCTTTTCGTGGTTTCAAGCGTTCAAACATGTGATATGATGTTGGTCCCATGCATTAGGGTGGGTGTAAAGGTCACCTGAAGGTCAGGTCAGGTCATTGACCTTCGATGACCTCGGTTCACTTTTTCGAGTTTTACATGTTTCTGGGCTAGTTTTTGGAGCTGAATTCGAATTTAGGAACCATTTGAACATTTACGAAGTAGTTTTGGTGCCTTCGTAACATGTTACGAAGCTGTCAGAGGCGGGTTGACACCTACTACGAATACCCGGCAGGACCCATACTGGTTGACCTGACCTGAGCTGACCCGACCTGGCCTAAATGCATGAAGACATCATCTGTGATCAAAACTAACATGATATTCGTGATCAGCATCCCGAAAACCCCCTTAGCAGCCACACTATACGACGTTCTAACAGGTCCCGACTTTCGGCCATTGACCTGACCTCAGAGGTCACCATTTGACCTATGACCTTAAAACCGGGTACCGTTGGCTTCGTCTCGTGACGACCTACACGATGGTTTTTTCCGCGAGGCTCTAGCTCAATTAGGGGCCAAACGCGAGGAGGGTCGCATCCCCCTGTGCCGTCGAGGGATGCAAAACGGCCTATGCCGGCGAGGGTTAAACCCTTATTTGTCCATTTCGCGCAAAAATGCGCAAAATATTTGCATTGGGCAGCAAGCTATACACCTTGAGGAAAGTCAGGCAGCAAATATCTTTGTGTTGTTCGGTGATGTTTTCTTTATATCCTTATATAAATTCATTGCGTCGTTGCACTACCACGGTTCCGAACAGGCACTGTAAACCCCACCACTACTAGTAAGCATGAAATAGTTCCCGGGAACTTGAGTACGAGAAACATGCGCAGAAATACCGGCTGTTTTTTTTAAAGCTATTTTGTACGCAATAACTTTAATGATTTTACGCTGAGAGCTTTTGAATCAGGGGAACGGAATATGGTACACAGCAGTCATTTCCATCTCCAGTCGGTAAGTCCTACTTTGCGACGTCATAGCATTATCTGCCTTGACATTGGGGAAAGGAAACTTGCTTATTCGGAAACTTTGGACATTTTTACAATACTCTATCCCATAATTACAGGAATTTCACCGAAGTTGATTTTCGACTTAATTCCGCTTTTTTGATGCGCCTGGCCCACTGTGCGGCGGCGGGCTCGGTGACACGTACTCAATGCACTACGTGCAGTAGAAAAGTTTGTTTATGTCAAAGTCGCGTCATAGATGTCCCAGCAATAGAGAATGAGGCTACTGAATGAAAGGTGTCCGGGACTTGTGGTGAATGAATTATCATACAGTGTGATGATAAAATTATTTAGGATGAAATCAAACAAACTATAGCATAAACTTCGAGCAAAGCTACGGGGCGCTTATTATATAGTTTCATAACATAAGCACTGTAGCCTAACAAAATGTCTATCAATGTTATAATAGCAATGATGAATAAATGATAGCATAATAGCAATATATAACATTGATATTATGTTGTAATATGAAATATCCAAGATATATATAATATATATATATATATAATGTTATAGCTACAGAGTACCGACAAACGAGATTCATCATCCATTCAGACAATATTGTGTGCTACTGCGGGCTATTTGCAGTAGCTAGGTGGTACTTTGGATGGACACTGCAGTGCACTGATATTATGGATGTGAGGAAGCTCGAGTCTCCTAATCCGCATCAATTTTACTATCTGACGAATTTTAAGTACCTACCTATCTAAACCTTTTCGGCATCGACCGGGTTCTTTTCTTACCAAGAAAAGTGAAAACTCATCCGCACGATATATTACAATAGGCAAACCAATACCCAAAAATAGTAACGGGGTCGGTTTCGCTTTTCAAAGAAGAAATCATTCATCCAATGCTCACACTAAGGCTGCGTTCGCAGTCTCCTCGGACGAAGAACATTACACGTCGTCCGGCCCAGGGTATATTGGTCCGGCCAACCCCGTCCGACAACCACAGCCAAGCCCCCGCTGACCTCGAACACCATTGGCCGGACGACGTAGAATCTTCGTCATCGGGAAGACTCCGAATCCGAGGTAAGACATTGCATAAACCAGGTATAAACAAGGCTTATCCTCGTGAGACGATATTTAGTTCATCGGTACCGGTCGTAACTTGTAACTAAGTCGAATAAAAGCGTGCTAATTATATAAGAACGTCAAGGCACACTTGGAAAACCTGCACTCTGGATACAAATTTTTCATTTGCCGATGGCATGAATAAATGACAAGTAGGCTATCAGTTATATCCTTACACGTGTAGAACTGATGTTCTCTTATTTGTCATGTAACACATCAACAAATCATTTCTTGAATGTCATGGCAGCCTGCGGGTTGGTAGACAGTATCTTGTTAATGGTTTCCTCCGTGAGCCCGCGAACCTTCATCATTGGGACGACGTTCTCCAGAATGTGCGAGAAACCGTGACCGCCGAATTTTGTCTGAAACAGTCGAAAACGGAAAACGTGTTTTGGCTGCTGCGTATAAGTCATAACAGTCCCACACCCAACCGACAATCAATATCAAAAAGTACGTGCGACGTGCGCATTAGGATATTTGCTTCCGCAAATACGGACTCTTCTTGCTGGACTCGGGTCCCTGTTTGCTCACCAATCTGTGTTTGGTGTGAATGTCGTGACTGATGACGACACGGTCTTCATATCCGTCCTCCACGAGGTGTTTGATGCGCTGAATGCGCTGGGCGTCAGACGGCATATCCACATGGGGAGCGAGCGTGTAGTGGCTGGTCTCGATCCCAAACAGGTCAAACTCCAGGTAGCTGCCAATCTTGGCAAACTCTGACAGACCTTCTGCAGTCTGGATGGAGCCTGTGGGAGTGTGGGACATTGAGAAAAGAGAAGTAATTAAGTGTTTAAAACGTCATCAAGCATTCACACGAATCAATATAACGGTATAAGCACTTCGTTCTTGCATCGATGTTACAGCGAACTCGCGTTATATGGCGAATTAAAAATCAAGTGTAACTAGAACGGGTCGACCCAAAGATTGTTGATGGAGAAACTAAATGAAATGATAAGCCCTAGCAGCTGCAGGCTACCCGTATGACTATATTATCGGTACGCAAGCACGGACTGCACATTACACTGCGCGTGGCTGTAACGTCTGACTACGTACGGTCCAAGTGAGACATGATACAGTTGGAGACGTCTCCGCCGGCCTCCTGGAAGATCCTGAGCACCTCGGGCGCGGCGGCCGGGTCTCGGCCCGGATGGAAGTTCACCGGACACCCCGTGGCCTGCTGTCCCAGGGCAGCCGCCTGGATGGCGCGGCGCTCAAAATCTGCCAACCGCAGGCGGAGTCAGATATGTGATAAATGAGCTGCAGGTGGCGGGGCATTTGCAGGCCAGGGTTGTATAACCTAGGTGTCAGCACTGAGGAAATAAACAGTGGGGTGGTGTTTCCGACAAGCAGTGAGACGCTTCGTAGAGGCTTTCTACCGCGTTTTAGTCCGAGAACTATTTGCAATTTGAAAGGGTTCGATGAGATATTGGTGGAGTATCGTGTCTTATGTTGAAATGAGCGAACGTAACAAAGTTTATGGCGAATTTAGTACGATAAAATTATATGTGATGTAAGCAGAAAAATAGGGAATTCCAAGACAATAGGTATT